GTTGTGAAAACAACAGCCTCTCCTTCATCAACCCTCTCTGATCAATGTTGCCAATCAATGAAAAGCCATAACAAAGCCTCTCGACCCCTTCCTCCTAAAACGGGGGTGGGGGGGAGTCTGTTCAGTCAAGGGGTGCCGGAGCCCGGAATGCGACCCCTAAACCGCGAGGGAATATGTGGAGTGGAAAATGCTGGAAAGGGCGGCCTGTGTGCTGTGGATTAACCCTTTGGTGGGACAGATGGTTGTGTTCCCCGTGTAGTTGGGAGCACGGGCACTGACCCCAGTCTTCACCCGTCCTGGTGCCCCCTTCCCCCGCACACACACACCAACACACGCCAGCTAGATCAGGCCAAGATGGAGGCCATGATGGAGGTGTATGTTTATGCTGCTGTACTGAGAATCTGCTAGCCTCCTCTTTGTGTGCTGTCTGGAAAACCTGCATGAAAACATGCCTCAATCAGTAATGTGAAACAGACTAGTGTGGTATCAGAAATGCTACTTGAATAGCCAAGTGTACAATTGTCAGTGGGTGATATCTTTGTTTTGTTTGTTGAAGATTAGATAGTGTTACATAATGTTATCTGTGTGTGGAGGGGAGGGGAGAAGAGGACCTCTGTTCCTCTCTCTTCGGCATTGACAGTGTTAAAGCGGCAGATGTTTGGATGAGGTCGCTGGTTTGAGACAATATGTCAGATCCTTCAAGACTGTAGACAGGCAGACGGACATATAGACAGAGGGAAGGCTAGAGGGAATTCAGATGACAAATCTTTGTGTTCTGGTGCACATCTTCTTTCATGGAAGTCAACATCGACAATACAGCTTTGTACCAAATCAAGAGGCGGTGCTGCTATTGGGCTGAAACACAAACTCATAATTGTGGCTTTACGGGAATACGGTGAATCTTAAATTAATTTCCTGTCTCCCGTCATGATCTTCTTGCCATTGACAGAAGCATCACTATACAGTTGACTTAACAGGTCTGCTGTAGGTAAATACTGTCCGTTCGCTCTCATTTTGGACCATTCATCTCTGGAAGAGCGACGTTAGTGTGCACAGCACATAGACACAGTCTCTCACCGACTCACCTCTCTCTCCCCTCTCACGTGAGACGTGCACAGACTACAGAATAGAGACACATTCACTCTAACCCACACTATGCTGTTTAAGGCAGAATACCCAGACCAACATCCATTCAAATGTATACCGTTTAGTGGATCCATTGTGCTGCAGTGCAGGACTACTGTAAATAGTATAGGATATATTGATTATAGCTTATCAGGAAAATACCAGTTGTACACATATGTAAGCATACACAGTCTTAGTCATCTGTTTATGATCATTGATAATGACCACACAACAAACAAACTGTGTCCTACAGAGTTGCTTAGTAATCAGTAGTTGAATAGAAGCAGCTGACTCATATTCCCTGAATCCCAGCTATAGGACACTAATTATAGGCTAGCCTTGGCTCCAATACTATTTTGTCATTTTAATTGTTCTACATCAGTAATTTGCATCATTGTTTCTTCAGAAGTGCTCTCTAAATGAATTGTATCATGTTTTGGTGTAGTCTTGGGGCTTTGACATTTTAGAGACACATGGATGCAGTTTTGGGTTTGGGCAGGAGCGGAATATGTGTTGACCAAAATGTAAAAACAGCAATAGACTCTGGCAGCCACATAGCCCGCTGTCCAATTTGAGGAGCACATTAGCAGGAAGTGTGTGACAGGAGAATGGACTACACTGCAGTCAACTTAGGGTCCTGCTTTATTATATCAATGTCCACTATGAGAGGAGATGGGGACAACAGAGGGCTGAGAGGGAAAGAAAGGCAGAGATGGAGAGAGAGACGTGAAGAAGGAAAGATAGAAAAACATAAAGAGGAGGGATGTCGACATTAGAGAGAAATAAATAGATACAGTGCCTTGCAAAAGTATTCATCCCCCTTGGCGTCTTTCCTATTTTGTTGCATTACAACCTGTAATTTAAATTGATTTTTATTTGGATTTAATGTAATGGACATACACAAAATAGTCAAAATTGGTGAAGTGAAATGAAAAAAATACCATTAAATTCATTATTAAAAAATTAAAATAATATGGCACCACAACAAATCTGCCAAGTGAGGGCCACCCATCAAAACTCACGGACCAGGCAAGGAGGGCATTAATCAGAGAAGCAACAAAGAGACCAAAGATAACCCTGAAGGAGCTGCAAAGCTCCACAGTGGAGATTGGAGTATCTGTCCATAGGACCACTTTAAGCTGTACACTCCACAGAGCTGGGCTTTACGGAAGAGTGGCCAGAACAAAGCCATTGCTTAAAGAAAAAAATAAGCAAACACGTTTGGTGTTCGCCAAAATGCATGTGGGAGACTCCCCAAACATATGGAAGAAGGTACTCTGGTCAGATGAGACTAAAATTGAGCTTTTTGGCCATCAAGGAAAACGCTATGTCTGGCGCAAACCCAACACCTCTCATCACCCCGAGAACACCATCCCCACAGTGAAGCATGGTGGTGGCAGCATCATGCTGTGGGGATGTTTTTCATCGGCAGGGACTGGGAAACTGGTCAGAATTAAAAGAATGATGGATGGAGCTAAATACAGGGAAATTCTTGAGGGAAACCTGTTTCATTCTTCCAGAGATTTGAGACTGGGACGGAGGTTCACCTTCCAGCAGGACAATGACCCTAAGCATACTGCTAAAGCAACACTTGAGTGGTTTAAGGGGAAACATTTAAATGTCTTGGAATGGCCTAGTCAAAGCCCAGACCTCAATCCAATTGAGAATCTGTGGTATGACTTAACGATTGCTGTACACCAGCGGAACCCATCCAGCTTGAAGGAGCTGGAGCAGTTCTGCCTTGAAGAATGGGCAAAATCCCAGTGGCTAGATGTGCCAAGCTTATAGAGACATACCCCAAGAGACTTGTAGCTGTAATTGCTGCAAAAGGTGACTCATTAAGGTGAATAGTTATGCACACTCAAGTTTTCTGTTTTTTTGTCTTATTTCTTGTTTGTTTTACAAAAACATATATTTTGCATCTTCAAAGTGGTAGGCATGTTGTGTAAATCAAATGATACAAACCCCCCAAAAATCCATTTTAATTCCAGGTTTTAAGGCAACAAAATAGGAAAAATGCCAAGGGGGTGAATACTTTCACAAGCCACTGTAGAAGATGGACAGGGAATGAAAGTAGAGAGAGAGAGAAATGGCCACAGAAGGAAAGGAGAGAGAAGCTGAGAGAGAAATAGATGGAGAGGAGAAAAGGGGAAGAGAGAAAGAGAGAGAGAGAACCACAAGCCTCCAGAGCTATCCACTGGGTCATGCTCATGAAAAATGTAATCAAGCTTTGCAGATAACAGCTTCCTTCCAACTTGGCACAAACATCTATATCTGCTCGAATGAGTTTTCTCAAACGCAATGATCTATTCTATGGCTTTTACATTGTAACAAACAAAATACTCCCTTTTTTCAAATCTGAGTGCTGTATATAATTATAAACTACAATTCTAGCGAGTCTCGCTATTCGCAAGGGCTGTCTTTGTTTCCTCTTTAGCCAGGAACTAGTTCAATACGCTCTTTCAAATAATGTCTGTCCTGAAAGACTGGAATGCCAGCACACCAGCAGAATAAGAATAGCGTTCCCTATTATTAGAATAATTATAATAATGAATCATTGCCAAACAGATTTACGATGGCCTACTTTTCACCATGGCACATATTGGATCACTATCATGGATAGCACGTTGTCTTTTTCGCCAACGTCTGGTTTATAATACGTCATACGTGATTACCATTTTCTATCTTCATCTGGACCAGCGATAATGAGCTCTATTTGTATGTTAACACCAGACCGTACTACTGTGTTGGACAGAATGTGGATTTGAATTGGTTTGAGGCTATTTACCAGACTCAATATACATATAGGTCACTCCTAGCTGTGCTCTGTGTCCACTAACATGGTCCTGGCTCCATGGCCTGGGCTGCCTGCTAGTTAGCGTTTTCCATTTGAATGCTGGAGGCTATAGCTTCAGAAGCATACTGACCAAACAACTGCTAAATAGCCATAGACTCTGTGTCAATAGGAATGAGTACTGGAATGAGCATAAATGACTCTTCTTTGTTGCATTTCAACAATATAATTGAAATACATTTAGTCCAATTATGAGAGATTGGGAGGGAAATGAGGGGCAGGTGACGTCTGATAACATCTTCCATCAACAAGTGCAATGTGGATTAGCAGCACTGCCTGCACTGTTTCTATAGGCCTTTGACCCTTATCAAGTCAGATTGAACAGGATAACTGATCTGGTTGAATACATACATAAGTAATGTGCTATACAGTATTTGGGCAGTAACTGGCTGTGTTTGGATAAAGTGAGAAAACGAACCTGTCTGTTCAGGTCAGGAGTGTTAACTATCACATGCTGGAATAACAGGGGTCTTGAACTTGACAAGGGTAGTATAGTCTGCTTGTCTGAATCTGTATTGATTCCTGTAGCATAGTGGCTGTATAACACTTGACAAGATGTGTATATGTTGTGTGGACGTGAAACACCTGCTCAGGCCCTGGCTGCTGTGCCTGGGCTTTACTGTATGCAGTTACAGCTATCTAGCAGTTAGTAGGGAGTTGTCAGCTGGAAGTAAGGAATCTCTTTAGCTACTCTGTGTTATGTCTGAAACAATATTAAAACAAGCCTAACCATAATCCACAGAGGGGGAGACAAAAACAGAACATATTTAAATGTATTAACACAGTCAGTGGTGATTATCAATTGATTTCTCATGTCAAATATTTCAGCTGCTTGGTTTTAGTTTGTCCAGTACAATGGTCCCAAAAGTGCAAAACTCTAAGCAAAATCAAGCACCCCAAATACAAACAGGTCTGCTGGGAAGGACAGCAGAGTAGTTGGATATGTACTTAAAACATTCTGTATTTGTGTAGAGTAAATGGATATTGTTTTGCAGGTAGTAGAGGAGGTACCACAAACGCCATGGCGCGGACAGGTAATACCTATGTTTGATGTCCACGCACGCACGCACACACACACACACACACACACACACACACACACACACACACACACACACACTCTCACACATTGCCCTTCCCTTAGTATCCTCACGCTAGTGATTCATTACAACTAGCCTGGCGCCTCTGCTGCCTTCCTCCTGTCGTATTTTAGCCTGTAACTCCCCTCCCCTCTGGGCCTTGAAAGAGCTCTAAAGTCAAATAGTCACGTCTCCTGCCTGTCATTCTTGCCTTTCCAAGGATACAGACAGAGGAAGAGTAGCATAGGGATCACACAACGATCTCCCCCCAGAGGGCTGCACAGCCCTGGGGTGAGAGGGAGGTCGTCCTCCTAGTTTGTCCAGTAAACACTGGAAGTCAGCGGAATTGCACTGAGACTCAGATTTTTCACTTAAAATGTATGCCAAACAAAAACCCTTGATTTCAAAGTTTAACAAACTAAACTACTTTTACACTGAACATTTTACAAAAACACCTTTACTGGAAGAACTGTGCAGATGCAAAGTTTGGTTACAGAATTTCGGTAAAATCTCCCTCAGTTTGTGTCCACGTTTTCCAAAAATTCTGTTAAATATCTGCTCCGAATTAAGATTAAACCAAATCTGCAGAAAGAATAAGGTCTCAGCTATGACATAACACATTGACTTTGAAAAAATCTATGTTGGTTATTGAACTACAGTAAGTGAAGTGGATTTACACCCGGTAACCGAATTGCGGTAACGGAATTTCATCATGGGGTCCGTGATCTGTACTACATAGAAATGCATAATTATGGATACGTACAGTATGTCATTCTCTTCATGGTGATGTATCCTAAATAAGTACATAAAGGTATAAATATGCAATATCCTCCTTTTGCATACTTGGGTATTGTTCTACACACTGGCTATTATTTTAAAGAGCTCTGCCCCCAAACAAGACCAAATTTGGTTGGTCCGAATCAGACCAAATCTGAACCAATCATAGACATCTAGGTTTCATAAGTTTGGACATCAAAGTACAGCACAGTAGAGCTCAGTAGAGTACAGTATGGTACAGTATAGTTTAATACAGTAGAGTACAGTAGAGTATATTTCAGTACAGTACATTATAGTGTACTCAACTCTAGTGTGCTCTACTGTGTACTGTACTGAACTCTACTCTACAGTACAGTACTTAAATTTCAGATGTTTTCGGAGATGGGCAGGGACACTGCTGTCCTAGCTTCCTGTAGGGGTGGGAGGGCCAAGAGACCTGAGGTAGCAGAACGGAGTGCTCGGGTTGGGATGTAAGGGTTTCAGCATAGCCTGAAGGTAGGGAGGGGCTATAGGTAAGCACTATGGTCTTGTAGTGGATGCGAGCTTCGACTGGAATACAGTGGAGTGTGCGAAGGAGCGGGGTGACATGAGAGAACCTGGGAAGGTTGAAAACCAGGTGGGCTGCAGTGTTCTGGATAAGTTGCAGGGGTTTGATGGCACAAGCGGCAAGTCCAGCCAACAGCGAGTTGCAGTAGTCCAGACGGGAGAGGACAAGTGCCTGGATTAGGACCTGCGCCGCTTGTACAATACTCTACTTTTCTTTACTGTACTGTACTGTGCTGTCCAAACTTGTGAACCCAGCTGTGTTTTGTGACTACTATGATTTCCTATTGTAGCCAATTCAATTGCAGAAATGTTGTTTTAGCGATTTCTTTCTGGAAATTCCGTTACCAATTTAATAATTCATAAACAAAATTGATATCAGTAAAAATACTATAACTAATTGATAGGTCTAACTTTACTTGTTACTTCTGTTAACTTTCATTATTCTCCCTCCTCATGAGGGAGAGAAATTAGAAAATATCTTAAAGATATGTGGGATTTTGCAGAAGTCTCTAAAACTAAACATGATATTAGTTGGCAGGTGTCTTAACTTCAACATTATTGTTTTTTGATGTATTTCTAATACCTTTTAAGATGTAAACTCAGGAAAAAATAAGAAACGTCCCTTTTTCAGGACCCTGTCTTTCAAAGATAATTCGTAAAAATCCAAATAACTTCACAGATCTTCATTGTAAAGGGTTTAAACAATGTTTCCCATGCTCAAAAAAATGTCAATGAACAATTAATGAACATGCACCTGTGGAACGGTCATTCAGACACTAACAGCTTACAGACGGTAGGCAATTAAGGTCACAGTCATGAAAACTTAGGACAATAAAGAGGCAAAACACCAAAAGAAAGATGTCCAGGGTCCCTGCTCATCTGCGTGAACGTGCCTTAGGCATGCTGCAAGGAGGCATGAGGACTGCAGATGTGGCCAGGGCAATAAATTGCAATGTCCGTACTGTGAGATGCCTAAGGCAGCGCTACAGGGAGACAGGATGGACTGCTGATTGACCTCGCAGTGGCAGACCACGTGTAACAGCACCTGCACAGGATCGGTACATCCGAACATCACACCTGTTTGACAGGTACAGGATGGCAACAACAACTGCCCGAGTTACACCAGGAACGCACAATCCCTCCATCAGTGCTCAGACTGTCCGCAATAGGCTGAGACAGGCTGGACTGAGGTCTTGTAGGCTTGTTGTAAGGCAGGTCCTCACCAGACATCACCGGCAACAACGTCGCCTATGGGCACTAACCCACCGTCGCTGGACCAGACAGGACTGGCAAAATGTGATCTTCACTGACGAGTCGCAGTTTTGTCTCACCAGGGGTGATGGTCAGATTCGCGTTTATCGTCGAAGGAATGAGCGTTACACCGAGGCCTGTACTCTGGAGCAGGATCGATTTGGAGGTGGAGGGTCCGTCATGGTCTGGGGTGGTGTGTCACAGCATCATCGGACTGAGCATCAACGCTGTGCGTTACAGGGAAGACATCCTCCTCCCTCATGTGGTACTCTTTCTGTAGGCTCATCCTGACATGACCCTCCAGCGTGACAATGCCACCAGCCATATTGCTCGTTCTGTGCGTGATTTCCTGCAAGACAGGAATGTCAGTGTTCTGCCATGGCCAGCGAAGAGCCCGACTCTCAATCCCATTGAGCACGTCTGGGACCTGTTGGATCGGAGGGTGAGGGCTAGGGCCATTCCCCCCAGGTGCCTTGGTGGAAGAGTGGGGTAACATCTCACAGCAAGAACTGGCAAATCTGGTGCAGTCCATGAGGAGGAGATGCACTGCAGTACTTAATGCAGCTGGTGGCCACACCAGATACTGACTGTTACTTTTGATTTTGACCCCCCCTTTGTTCAGGGACACATTATTCCATTTCTGTTAGTCAAATGTCTGTGGAACTTGTTTAGTTTATGTCTCAGTTGTTGAATCTTGTTATGTTCATACAAATATTTACACATGATAAGTTTGCTGAAAATAAACGCAGTTGACAGTGAGAGGAAGTTTCTTTTTTTGCTGAGTTTATATATGCCTTAATTCTATTTGACACCCAATTTGACATGCTCCTATGAAATTCACATGTTGGTGCTCATAGGTCCTTAAACATGGAAATGACCTTGTGTCATATGAGCTGAGCTTCCCACCAGCAGGCCACAGTAGCCTCACCACAGCTGTTCTGCTCTGGGTCCAGATAGGTAGGATACAGCCCAGACAAAACAAAATAATTTTGGCCGATGAAATGTAGGCTACAGTATGCAGCTAATTCTGGGGGGCATGACACACCATCATAGTTTTTACATTGAATATTTAAGGACATGGACATTGTAAACTAGGTTGTTAGCAATACATGCAACATTAAGTCATGGCCACCCTTTCCTTTGAAATATCTCTGAATCTCATTATCAAGGAGGAAGACATGCAGTCAATAATGTGATGGCGGAGTGTAGCTCACTGTCTCCGTTCTGTCGCAGTGAAGTCGGCCAAGAAGTCCAACTCTGTGTTGCCCTTGTGGGAAGGGCTGAATGTAGGTCGTAGCTGAAATCCAAGCACAGACTTTTGGGGGGTTATGTAGGTCTGGGGTGCTCTACTGCACTGGACAACGGAGCTGTAGAGAGGAAATAAACCGATTTTCACACACAGCTATTTTTAGAGTCTGGGTTTGTGAGCAGCAGCGTGCCTCCACACCCTCCTTTTTCCTTTCTGATCTATTTTGGAACTGATGTTCAAAACGTGATTGATTTTAGAGCGGTGTGTGTTTGCCTCAGTGGTGCTGTCTCTGTCAGTGCAGGGAGAGGCAATTATTTTACCCTGGTTCTATATATTTCTGTCCTGAACCAAAAGCGGGTGACCTGAATGTAATCATCTCCTCGCCAGTCCTTCATCGGCCAAGGGAATGCATAGTGCTATGTAATTGAGTCAGAATCATTTCTGTCTTTTTGTCCTGCAATTTTGCACTCAAATCATATCTTACTGTCAGGTCCTAGCCTCACAAATGTCAGTGTTGAAAAGATCTGAGTCAATTGTGCCAGCCGAAGAGAGAGCAGAGGCTCCCTAAAATAGTCTGTCATCAATTAAATATGCATGAGGCCCTTGGATTAGTCTGCCAGTGCAGCATTTCGGTGACAACCAAAAGGCAGAGGTTAGTTGACTTGAATACCCATCACTGAGGGCATTGGAGAGATCCATTTAGTTGGACAAGGCACAATATAAACTGTTTATTTTACATACAGCAAGGGAGGAGATTGTTCCACTCTATACAGCACACATTCCCACCTTTTGATTAATTCCCACAGCCAGAGGTGGGCTGGAAGCCTCCATTGTTTAGTGCTTTGAAGGTAGAGAGGACTGTTTACAGGAGGCTGCTGGGTTGGTTCTGTGTACTCACTCTCCTGTTGTTTCCTGCAGCACTGAGGGACACAACTAGAGGGACAAAGAAATAAAGGGTTTCCTGTGAACACGCTCTCGGGCCAGGGTGGATCACTAATGAGATTGTAAGGCAGGAGGAGAAACCAGTCAGGCCTGTCCTAACTGAATCAACACCTCAGTCCTTCCCTCCCACTGTATCATACCACACCCCACCCCTGCCCACACTGTCATGCATGGGAAGGAGGCCCAGAGGAGAAGGGTCAATCTGAGACAGGGACCAGGTGGGAGTGGGAGTGGAACTATGGTCAATGATGGTGAGAAGGATAGACACACAGGGTTGAATGTGATGGTTAGCAGTTCATTGGAGATGACAGGGATAAGACTGTAGACAGTAGATAATTGATTGTCTCCGAGGTAGCTAGCTTAGGTTACAGTGACTCTAAAGGTCATCGTGACTGTGGTGAACGGTGGTGGTTATGTATCGATTGTGGTTAAGGTATCACGTTGATGTCACCCCCCCTTATAGCATCCAGCTCACAACAACAAGAGTGATGTTTGCATGCCAAGCCAGGCCAGGGGATGACGTATTGTTTGTGATTGTAGAGGAAACATTACCACTGTATGGGGGGGTGATAACAGGTTAATGAGGCTAGCTGGTCAGGGATGATTGTGGACTAGCTGTAATGTTGCTGACAGTCACATGGGGTTGTGGTTTAGGTCACTGGCTATGGGGATGATTAGGCCAGACTAGGACACTCATGCTGAACAGCAGAGAGATTTACATTTTTTTTTTACATTTAAGTCATTTAGCAGACGCTCTTATCCAGAGCGACTTACAAATTGGTGCATTCAACTTAGGATAGCCAGTGGGACAACCACCCTTTTTTTTTTTTTTTTTTTGCTGGGGTGTAGAAGGATTACTGTTATACTATTCCAGGTATTCCTTAAAGAGGTAGGGTTTCAAGTGTCTCCGGAAGGTGGTCAGTGACTCCGCTGTCCTGGCGTCGTGGGGGAGCTTGTTCCACCATTGGGGTGTAGGAGAACACCTCATTCACAGTGACAGAGGACACATCCAGGTGTGTGTGTGTCTGTGTCTATGTCTGTGTATTACTGGGGAGAGGTTGCTTTAGGTGATTGTTATTCCTTGTTTGTTCCAGAACCATGCCATTTGGTGGCCACACCCCCTCCACCTTAGCAGTAGGCAAGCTACAGGTTTGTGTGTGTGTGTAGCTGCTGATTGTGATAAGTGTTTCCTCTGCTAACCTTTGAAGCATTACGGGCCTGTGTGTGTGTGCACCATGTTGTGCTCCTGTGTCCACCGGTGGCCCAGTCACCCCAGAGCAGCAGGGCATGTGCTGGGATGGAAGGATCACGAGAGGGAGGGAGGGAGAGCAGAGGATGGTTCACATGGGGTTACAAAGAGTTCATGCAGTTTCAAATATAACCGAAAAAATCTCCTTCAATTCAATTCAAAGGGCTTTATTGGCATAGGAAACATATTTTTACATTGCCAAAGCAAGTGAAATAGATAATTTAAATAAACAATTACAAATGAACAGTAAACATTACACTCACAATAGTTTCAAAGGAATAGAGACATTTCAAATGTCATATTATGTCTATATACAGTGTTGTAACAATGTGCAAATAGTTAAAGTACAAAAGGGAAAATAAATAAACATAAATATGAGTTGTATTTACAATGGTGTTTGTTCTTCACTGGTTGCCCTTTTCTTGTGGCAACAAGTCACAAATATTGCTGCTGTGATGACACACTGTGGTATTTCACCTAATAGATATGGGAGTTTATCAAAATTGGATTTGTTTTCGAATTCTTCGTGGGTCTGTGTAATCTGAGGGATGTATGTGTCTTTAATATGGTCATACATTTGGCAGGAGGTTAGGAAGTGCAGCTCAGTTTTCACCTCATTTTGTGGGCAGTGTGCACATAGCCGTCTTCTCTTGAGAGCCAGGTCTGCCTACGGCGGCCTCCCTCAATAGCAAGGATATGCTCACGGAGTCTGTACATAGTTAAAGCTTTCCTTAATTTTGGGTCAGTCAAAGGGGTCAGGTATTCTGCCGCTGTGTACTCTCAGTTTAGGGCCAAATAGCATTCCAGTTTGCTCTGTTTTTTAATTTTTTTCCCAATGTGTCAAGTAATTTGGTTTTGTCTATTGTCTTTCACGCTCTCTCTCGCGAGATATGAAGGCTGATCTATGGTGTATCCCTAGTCATGTCCCTCAGATGTGGATAAAAGCTGATGGGCTCTGTCTGTGTTTTATAGACTGAAGAAAAGCAGACTCTTTTCCAGTTCTGTGAGGAAATCAAGTGCAGTGTATATGGAGTCTGTTAGGAGAGTGAAGCAGACCATAGTAGACTAGACCTGCTACTCTCCCTGAAGCCCTTCTCTCTCTGAGTCACAACGTACTGTAACATGTCTCCTCCTGTTTTCCTGTTCACTTCATCAGGGTTCTCTCTCCTCCTCACACACAAATCACCAGGTCAGACACCCCTCTTCCTCCTGGTCTCCATATTCACATTATTACATTAGAACTGCTGTATGAATGTGGTGGTGGTGTGCCTGCTTGGTTCTCTTCAGTTTTCTCAAATTAATAATTTAGAATGCTGTTCATTGACTACAGCTCAGCCTTCAACACCATTAAGCTCGGGGCCCTGGGTCTGAACCCCGCCCTGTGCAACTGGGTCCTGGTCTTCCTGACGGGCCACCCCCAGGTGGTGATTGTAGGCAACAACAACTCCACAACGCTGATTCTCAACACAGGGGCCCCACAAGGGTGCTTGCTCAGCCCCCTCCTGTACTCCCTGTTCATTCATGACTGTGTGGCCACACACGTCTCCAACTCAATCATCAAGTTTGCAGATGACACAACAGTGGTAGGCCTGATTACCAACAACGATGAGACTACAGATAAGAGGTGAGGGAAAATAACCTCAACGCCAAACAAAACGAAGGAGCTGATCGTGGACTTCAGGAGACTGCAGAGGGAGCACGCCCCCATCCACATCGACGGGACCGCAGAGGAGAAGGTGAAAAGCTTCACTTCACTGACAATCTGAAATTGTCCACCCACACAGACAGTGTGGTGAAGAAGGCGCAACAGCGCCTCTTCATACTCAGGAGGCTGAAGAAATTTGGCTTGGCCCCTAAGACCTTCACAAACTTTTACAGATGCACCATTGAGAGCATCCTGTTGGGCTGCATCACCGCCTGGTATGGCAACTGCGCCTTCCGCAACCACAGGGCTCTCCAGAGGGTGGTGCGGTCTGCCCAACGCATCACCGGAGGCACACTGCCTACCCTCCAGGACATCTACAGGCCTGTTCACCCCGCTACCATCCAGAAGGCGAGGTCAGTACAGGTGCATCAAAGCTGGGACGGAGAGACTGAAATACAGCTTCTTTCTCAGCAGCCTACCCTGAACTTTAGTCACTTTCACTAGCCGGCTACCACCCGGTTACGCAACGCTGCACCTTAGAGGCTGCTGCCTGTGTACATCAAATTTAATTTGTCACATACACGTGTTTAGACATGGAACACTGGTCACTTTAATAATGGAACTATCCTATTTAACTATTGGTGTACATATACTATTATATCCTACGTATTCTTCAGATATACTACATATTCTATCCATACTGTCCATAATGTATGTCTCTGTCTGTGTCTGTCTATCTGTCTATCTGTCTGTCTGTCTGTCTGTCTGTCTATTAATCTAATCTAATCTACACACAGTACCAGGTTTAGACACACCTACTCATTCAAGGGTTTTTCTTTATTTTTACTATTTTCTACATTGTAGAATAATAGTGAAGACATCAAAACTATGAAATAACACATATGGAATCATGTAGTAACCAAAAAAGTGTTAAACAAATCCAAATACATTTTATATTTGAGATTCTTCAAAGTAGTCACCCTTTATTTGTGGAATTTATTTCCTTCTTAATGTGTTTGAGCCAATCAGTTGTGTTGTGATAAGGTAGAGGTGGTATACAGAAGATAGCTGGTAGTCCGCTGTAGCTCAGTTGGTAGAGCATGGCGCTTGCAACGCCAGGGTTGTGGGTTCGTTTCCCACGGGGGGCCAGTATGAAAATGTATGCACTCACTCACTGTAAGTCGCTCTTGATAAGTGCGTCTGCTAAATGACTAAAATGTAAATGTAATAGCTGTATTTGGTAAAAGACCAAGTCCATATTATGGCAAGAACAGCTCAAATAAGCAAAGAGAAATGACAGTCCATCATTACTTTAAGACATGAAGGTCAGTCAATACGGAACATTTCAAGAACTTTGAAAGTTTCTTCAAGTGCAGTCACAAAAACCATCAAGCGCTATGATGAAACTGGCTCTTATGAGGACCGCTACAGGAATGGATGTCCCAGAGTTACTTCTGCTGCAGAGGATAAGTTCATTAGAGTTACCAGCCTCAGAAATTGCAGCCAAAATAAATGCTTCACAGAGTTCAAGTCACAGACACATCTCAACATCAACTGTTCAGAGGGGACTGTGTGAAACAGGCCTTCATGGTCAAATTGCTGCAAAGAAACCACTACTAAAGGACACCAATGAGAAGAAGAGACTTGCTTGAGCCAAGAAACACGAGCAATGGACATTAGACCGGTGGAAATCTGTCCTTTGGTCTGGAGTCCAAATTGGAGATTTTTGGTTCCAACCGCCGTGTCTTTGTCAGACGCGGTGTGGGTGAACGGATGATCTCCGCATGTGTATTTCCCACTGTAAAGCATGGAAGAGGAGGTGTTATGGTGTAGGGGTGCTTTTCTGGTGACACTGTCTGTGATTTATTTAAAATTCAAGGCACATTTAACCAGCGAGGCTACCACAGCATTCTGCAGTGATACGCCATCCTATCTAGTTTGGCTTAGTGGGACTATCATTTGTTTTTCAACAGGACAATGACCCAAAACACCTCTAGGCTGTGTAAGGGCTATTTCACCAAGAAGGAGAGTGATGGAGTGCTGCATCAGATGACCTGGCCTCCACAATCCCCCGACCTCAACCCAATTGAGATGGTTTGGTATGAGTCTGACGGCAGAGTGAAGGAAAAGCAGCCAACAAGTGCTCAGCATATATGGGAACTCCTTCAAGACGGTTGGAAAAGCATTCCAGATGAAGCTGGTTGAGAGAATGCCAAGAGTGTGCAAAGCTGTCATCAAGGCAAAGGGTGGCTATTTGAAGAATCTCAAATATAGAATATATTTTGATTTGTTTAACACTTTTTTGGTTACTACATGATTCCATATGTGTTATTTCATAGTTTCGATGTCTTCACTATTATTCTACATTGTAGAAAATAGTAAAAATTATGAAAAACCTTTGAATGACTAGGTGTGTCCAAACTTTTGACTGGTACTGTATGTGTGTGTGTATATGTGTGTATATATATATATATATATATATATATATATAATATACAGTGAGGGAAAAAAGTATTTGATCCCCTGCTGATTTTGTACGTTTGCCCACTGACAAAGAAATGATCAGTCTATAATTTTAATGGTAGGTTTATTTGAACAGTGAGAGACAGAATAACAACAAAAAAAAATTATAAATTGATTTTGCATTTTAATGATGGAAATAAGTATTTGATCCCTCTGCAAAACATGACTTAGTACTTGGTGGCAAAACCCTTGTTGGCAATCACAGGGGTCAGACGTTTCTTGTAGTTGGCCACCAGGTTTGCACACATCTCAGGAGGGATTTTGTCCCACTCTTCTTTGCAGATCTTCTCCAAGTCATTAAGGTTTCGAGGCTGACGTTTGGCAACTCGAACCTTCAGCTCCCTCCACAGATTTTCTATGGGATTAAGGTCTGGAGACTGGCTAGGCCACTCCAGGACCTTAATGTGCTTCTTCTTGAGCCACTCCTTTGTTGCCTTGACCGTGTGTTTTGGGTCATTGTCATGCTGGAACACCCATCCACAACCCATTTTCAATGCCCTGGCTGAGGGAAGGAGGTTCTCACCCAAGATTTGACGGTACATGGCCCCGTCCGTCGTCCCTTTGATGCGGTGAAGTTGTCCTGTCCCCTTAGCAGAAAAACACCCCCAAAGCATAATGTTTCCACCTCCATGTTTGACGGTGTGTATATGTGCTTTCTTGAGCAGGGGGACATTGCGGGCCTGCAGGATTTCAGTCCTTCACGGCATAGTGTGTTACCAATTGTTTTCTTGGTGACTATGGTCCCAGCTGCCTTGAGATCATTGACAAGATCCTCCTGTGTAGTTCTGGGCTGATTCCTCACCGTTCTCATGATCATTGCAACTCCACGAGGTGAGATCTTGCATGGAGCCCCAGGCCGAGGGAGATTGACAATTATTTTGTGTTTCTTCCATTTGCGAATAATTTCACCAACTGTTGTCACCTTCTCACCAAGCTGCTGGGCGATGGTCTTGTAGCCCATTCCAGCCTTGTGTAGGTCTAAAATCTTGTCCCTGACATCCTTGGAGAGCTCTTTGGTCTTGGACATGGTGGAGAGTTTGGAATCTGATTGATTGATTGCTTCTGTGGACAGGTGTCTTTTATACAGGTAACAAGCTGAGATTAGGAGCACTCCCTTTAAGAGTGTGCTCCTAATCTCAGCTTGTTACCTGTATAAAAGACACCTGGGAGCCAGAAATCTTTCTGATTGAGAGGGGGTCAAATACTTATTTCCCTCCTTAAAATGCAAATGAATTTATAAAAAAGATTTAACATGCGTTTTTCTGGATTTTTTTGTTGTTATTCTGTCTCTCACTGTTCAAATAAACCTACCATTAAAATTATAGACTGATCATTTCTTTGTCAGTGGGTAAACGTACAAAATCAGCAGGGGATCAAATACCTTTTTCCCTCACTGTATATATATACACACATATATAAATATATATATATATATATATATATATATATATATATATATATATACATACATACATACATACATACATACATACATACATACAGTTGAAGTCTGAAGTTTACATACACCTTAGCCAAATACATTTAAACACAATTCCTGACATTTAATCCTAGTAAAAATTCCCTGTCTTAGGTCAGTTAGGGTCACCACTTTATTTAAAAAATTTGAAATGTCAGAATAATAGTAGAGAGAATGATTTATTTAAGCTTTTATTTATTTCATCACATTCCCAGTGGGTCAGATGTTTACATACACTCAATTAGTATTTGGTAGCATTGCCTTTAAATTGTTTAACTTGGGTCAAACGTTTCGGGTAGCCTTCCACAAGCTTCCCACAATAAGTTGGGTGAATTTTGGCCCATTCCTCCTGACAGAGCTGGTGTAACTGAGTCAGGTTTGTAGACCTCCTTGCGCGCACACGCCTTTTCAGTTCTGGCCACAAATGTTCTATAGGATTGAGGTCAGGGCTTTGTGAAGGCCACTCCAATACCTTGACTTTGTTGTCCTTAAGCCATTTTGCCACAACTTTGAAAGTATGCTTGGGGTCATTGTCCATTTGGAAGACCCATTTGCGACCAAGCTTTAATTTCCTGACTGATGTCTTGAGATGTTGCTTCAATATACCCACACCATTTTCCTTCCTCATGATGCCATCTATTTTGTGCACCAGTCCCTCCTGCAGCAAAGCACCCCCACAGCATGATGCTGCCACCCCCGTGCTTCACGGTTGGGATGGTGTTCTTCGGCTTGCAAGCGACCCCCTTTTCCCTCCAAACATAACTATGGTCATTATGGCCAAACAGTTCTATTTTTGTTTAATCAGACCAGAGGACATTTATCCAAAAAGTACAATCTTTGTCCCCATGTGCAGTTGCAAACCGTACTCTTTCTTTTTATGGCGGTTTTGGAGCAGTGGCTTCTTCCTTGCTGAGCGTGCTTTCAGGTTATGTCGATATAGGACTCGTTTTACTGTGGATATAGATACTTTTGTACCTGTTTCCTCCAGCATCTTCACAAGGTCCTTTGCTGTTGTTCTGGGATTGATTTGCACTTTTCGCACGTTCATCTCTAGGAGACAGAACGCGTCTCCTTCCTGAGCGGTATGACGGCTGCGTGGTCCCATGGTGTTTATACTTGCATACTATTGTTTGTACAAATGAACGTGGTACCTTCAGGCTTTTGGAAATTGCTCCCAAGGATGAACCAGACTTGTGGAGGTCTACAATTGTTTTGCTGAGGTCTTGGCTGAAGTATTTTGATTTTCCCATGATGTCAAGCAAAGAGGCACTGAGTTTGAAGGTAGGCCTTGAAATACATCCACAGGTATACCTCCAATTGACTCAAATTATGTCAATTAGCCTATCAGAAGCTTATAAACCCATGACATAATTTTCCTGAATTTTCCAAGTTGTTTAAAGGCACAGTCAACTTAGTGTATGTAAACTTCTGACCCACTGGAATTGTGATACAGTGAATTATAAGTGAAATAATATTTTTGTAAACAATTGTTGGAAAAATTACTTGTGTCATGCACAAAGTAGATGTCCTAACCGACTTGTCAAAACTTCAGTTTGTTAACAAGAAATTTGTGGAGTGGTTGAAAAACAAGTTTTAATTACTACAACTTACGTGTATGTAAACTTCCGACTTCAACTGTTCAAACATATTCTGGACTCTGATATTGCTCGTCCTAATATTTCTATATTTCTCAATTCCATTCTTTTACTTTTTAGATTTGTGTGTATTGTTGTTTATTGTTCGATATTACTGCACTGTTGTAGCTAGGAACACAAGCATTTTTCTACATCCGTAATAACATCTGCTAAATATGTGTATGCGACCAATACCATTTGATTTAGGGTTTCTCACATGGGCTTGCTCTGTCATGCCTCTTTAGCCTTCCATTTTTCAGTGCCTTGAAGGGAAAATGGTATCAACTGCATTATAAGGAAATAAAGCCCTCAATGTCAGAGGAGACTGAGGCTGGCTTCTGAGTGATTCTGTTATTCCAGGGTTGTCCTTAGCAACAGAACAGAATGTCTCACTACACGCAATGCAATTACATTTTTATTTATGGATGGCCTAGGCCTGCAACATTCACTACCCTACTCCATACACACAAGGTTCATTAGTGTACATTGTTTGTGAGGAAATGTATGTCTACGTTATGGTTAACACAACATTCTAATGTTGTAGCATACACATAACTGTGCTACCATGCTAAATAGTTCATTATGAGTGGACAGCTACTCAGTATTTAAAGCCTTATCATCAATCAAGCTTTTACTGTTCTACTGATGCAATTACTGCACCGGCATATCTCAACAGTACCTCTAGGCATGAGTTAACGTTAGGCTAATGCTTGCATCTAATCTCAAAGGCTTTATTGTGTGTTGATGGGTGGATTATGCTAACTGTGTAACGGTTATTTCTGGGCTCTCTCTTGTGTTACACTGGGTTTGTGAGGTCAGGCTGGAACGGATGAGGGCTGTGCTGTGGTTCTACTCATTAAATGGATACTCTGAGGAGCTATGAGAAGGACTCTCTCTTCCATAGCAGTCATCAATTGAGCTTTTGTATGGGACAGGGAATTCATTAACTCAATAGGAATGACAGTGTCCTAATCTGGCCGAGGCTGAGGGCTGAGAGGCTGGCTATTCTGGCCTGGAAATACTGATAATTTACATTTAGATTTTAGTCATTTAGTAGACGCTCTTATCCAGAGCGACTTACAGTTAGTGAGTGCATACATATTTTTTTCATACTGGCCCCCCGTGGGAAACGAACCCACAACCCTGGCGTTGCACGGGGCCAGAGCAGACATCATAGCGGAGGGCATTTATATCCATATACTATCAGATGGATTGGAGCTATACAGTTTTTTGTTGTATTACTAAGTCTCTACAATACAATAGAGATAACCCTAGTCAGTAGCTTTCTATCTGCTGTGGTGGTTAGTGGGGATGGACATGGGAGGAGGCAGTTGGCTTTAGTCAGTCATGGTTAGGGGGTTAATGAGTTGTTAGGTGTGTGTAGTTGCTGTAGATGTGTGTGTGTGTGTGTGTGTGTGTGTGTGTGCATGTGTGTGTAAATGTGTAGATGTGTAGATGTGTAGATGTGATAACAACCCACACTTCCTGTTTGTCTCCAAGGGGAGCCGTGTGATTGGTGGGATGAGTCAACAGCACTCTACTGAGTCTGCTTTTTTAGTAGAACACTCATCCTGGGGGAAGCCTCCACCAAGGTCAACACTCTACAGATTAGCTGTCTGCAATGGGAGGAGCTTCAAAGTTTCTCTGATAGAGTTCATGCTTTGTTTGAGGGTTTGTCTTGCGCATCAATTTCCCCTCACTAGAAGAAAGACAAGTTAGTTTGCACTGAGGGTAGAGGAGTTTTGAACAAAAGTGACCAGCCTGAGATTTAAAATCACAGATCGCAGCGATGTCGTACACAAGCTACGTCGTAAACAGAACACAATGCCATTAAGTCACATATCCTATGTAGCGGTGGCTACAGGGGAGATGATATTGAAGAAGTAATTGAGAATATGACAGTGGTGTGATGAGTGGGGACCAAGTGGCACAGTGGTCTAAGGCACTGCATCGTAGTGCTAGAGGCGTCACTACAGACCCAGGTTCGATTCCGGGCTGTATCACAACCAGCCATGATCGGGAGCCCCATAGGGCAGCGCACAATTGGCCCAGCGTCTTCCGGATTAGGGGAGGGTTTGGCCGGGGTAGGCTGTCATTGTAAATAAGAATTTGTTCTTAACTGACTTGCGTAGTTAAATAAAAAAAAAAAAAAAAAAAAAAAGTGGCAGTGGTGTGTGTGAGTTATCGTCACATCTCTGAAATGGCCACTGCAGCGAGGAGCATATCCCAGCAACTCCTCCCAGCTCCCCGTGCTATTTTTACCAGCAGCCATATTCTCATCAGCTCATTGGAGTGATGGGGAAATGGAGGAGAGGAGGCAGTTGCTCTCATACTGAAGAGAAAGAGAACAAACAGGAGAGATTGGTTACCAATCCATTGCTTAAGGGGGAGGAGCTGCAGCCTCGTGGACAGCCATCTTTGTAAAGACACCACAGTGTACTAAAGCAAAAGTGTACTAAAGCAACATGTAGAGTCGACCGATATATTTGTCTTAAAAATATAATAAGCGTATGTATTTTAATTAATCCACCATGACAAAGCATTACCTCAAACCTTATTGGGTTGAGCAGAATATCTTAGTAGGAATAGTAGTATGTTAACTTCATATTTTTGGTAATGGAGAGTGGAAGGCAGAAACAGAGAGATGCAGAGAAGGAACAATATAAGAGCGAGATAGTGGGCGAGAGATGAGTTTGACTGGCTCTGCCATCCTGTCATCAATTAACATGGCAGTGTTACATAATCTCGTCACCAACGCACCATAGAGCTGTTTAATACTGACTACACCAACTGGCCCGCTGTCAGGAGCCATTAACATGTAGCACGCACGTGAGAGCCGTTGACAGCCATGATCGCATACATCTCTATGTGATATGTCATCATTTCTTGTTATTTTGGATTATGTGTGCAAAACTGTGTACACGACCAATAAACTTTGATTTGATCTCTACACACACACACACACACACACACACACACACACACACACTCTCCCCACACACACTCTCCCCACACAGTAGTGTTACTCAGACTCACAGGGTTTCTACAGCACCTCATAATGAATGCATAAATAAACAAGACTCATCTTTAACTTGTTGTCCTCCAATTTAAGTGGTCATTGTCACTGTTCAATGAATTATTTTGTCACCATGTGTCATGCTTGAATGATGACACTAACCAGGTTTCCATAAGTCGAGGTTGCTGAGGGGATGACGGCTCATAATAATGGCTGGAAAGGAGCAAATGGAATGACATCATATACACCATGTTTGATGTATTTGATACCATTCCACTGATTCTGCTACAGTTATTACCACAAGCCCGTTCGCCCCAATTAAGGTGCTACCAACCTCCTGTGGTTTCCATCCAACCTTTTTATGCCAGTAAAGTACATGTTGGATAAAAAATGTCACAACAGGCCTGATGTAAACAGCACATTCGTCAGTAAACTTTCCAAATGTCGACAAAACAAATCATTCTAGACAAGGTGGGATCTTTTTGTGTCTGTAAAATTAATTATAGGAGAAATGGCGGTGGAAATGCTTTTATTTGCAAATATTGATATAATAACCATCATATCAACGTAAACGTGGAGTCACACGAAGATATGTTGTGTGGTCGTTCCACTACGACTCGGGAAACCATGCAGTTTATTAGGCTACAGATGAAATAAGTTATGATGAACTTCACAGGGTGGTGAATGCAGGGGTGCAATGCGGGACATGTCCCCCCACTTCTAAAACCAAAGTTGTGCCCCTGGGTGAAAGTACACGGTGATGAGCTTGATGCTCCTTTCAATAAGTATTTAGGGTCTTATGTCTGGTGACATGATGATCGATGCTTGGCTGCCGTTTGAATTTTTTTAATAATCTTGCACTTTTGTCCACAATAATCTGTAGACTATAACCGCACTGTATCTGCAAGTTGTTGGCTAGAGCGCACGTGGCAATACCAGAGTGGGCACATTCTCTATATACGCAACATTCAGTAGAGTTGAAAATGCAATGGAAACCCATTTAACTTGTATTTTTTATTCAGTCCATGGGAATTTAACTTCCAAAGTTATTTTTATGTGCATTACGTCATTATGCACATACGTTTTTCCAAAACAAGTCAATTTAATGGAAACATATCTCTGATGGAAAAAGTTACACATTTTTATTTCGGATTGTAGAATATTCGCATGAAAATCTGTTGTCAATTGGATGGAAACCTAACTACTGACTGTTTAAACATGCTTTATCTTGGAGCATATATCTGGGTTAATCTCACTCCAATTTTAGCCACATTTGCTGTGTGGAAGGCTAAATCAATATTGGCCATACCATCAGCTAACGTTGTCTTATCTTCCTGGTTGACTGACCTGTTCCACTCTCTGATTGGCTCCATCAGGTACAACCCGCCCCCCACGTGACGGAGAGGTCCCTGGAATAGATTATAACTTCCTGCCTGTGGAGGACTTTCTGGCGCTGGAGCAGAGTGGGACCCTTCTGGAAATAGGAGCATATGAAGGTAACAATCTGCAGCAATGCTCAGTCACTCAGTGTCCCGATAGTCTGAGTGTGTCACTAACTAGGGGCCCTCAGAAGTGAACCAACATGTAGAAGTAAACCACCCATGTCATCAGTTGAATGCTGGACAACTTGTTTACTTTGGTATTTACTGTATGTGGGTGTAGTGTGCTGTATATCTCTGGAGGTGAGTGTACTAGGTGTTTTTTAATTAAACAGGCTTCTGCATTTAGTACAGTAATGACTACAAGGGACCATTCACAGCCTATGTGTATAAACCCGTTCCCACAGGCTAAAGTCATCATTACCCTGGCATTATGTTCGGTGTGAAAGGGGTCGAAGCCGTGAGAGAGGGGAAGGTGTCTGCCATTGTTCGCACGTAACTTCCAGTGTTGTGTATATTTTAATAGCAAAGAATCGCAGTCAACACCTGTGGAGCATTACACATGTCATGCAGAAATACCATTCATTCACATGCACATTTAATGAAGTGGCTGTTCCGTCCCTGTAGCTTGGTCAGTGGGCCCAGACAATGCTCCACTCTCCCGGAGAAAACAAACAGTGTCCTCACTTCCTCCAATAGAATGCACTAGACTACAAATCCCCAAAGAAACTCTATGGTCATGCCTTCTTAGCCCCCTCATCTGCATACAAAGACTCTGTGATTATACCCCCCTCTTCTCCCGCCTTCCCCTTTTCCCCCTCCCTTCTTTTTTTCTAAACATGCTAATATCCCCCTGTTGCCTAGGTAACTATTATGGAACACCCAAGCCGCCGAGGCAGCCCCCTAGTGGGAAAGTGATTACCAGTGATGCTTTGCAAGACAGCCTCCCGGGCTCCCAGCACTCCACTCCCCGACGCACCAAGTCCTACAATGATATGCAAAATGCTGGAATAGTGCCTGTAGACCTGGAGGAGGACGAGGAACTCCCAGAGATGAACAGTAGCTTAACAGGTAAGAGAGAGAGGGGAGAGAGAGAGGGAAGGACTGGTAGAGAGTGGGTGAGGGAAAAGGAGAGTGGGAGGAAGACGGGGTAGGGGAGAGGGGGTGGGAGGGAGGTACTGCTGTGCTATGGGAAAGGGTGCAGGATACAAGTGGTCCTTTGTGTGGTGAGTGGTTAGTTGGTTGTTCAGTCTACGTCCGCCACTGTCTATCTGAGAGTAGAAAAAATAGTGCCACCTGGCTGCGATAGCAGGAAGCAGAATGTGCAGCTTTCATGTTTGAAACCAGTATGGTGGCTTTCTGTCTGTTTCTGTCTGAATTAGGTTGTTAATGGTCACTAATATAGCATGATTTGACGTGTGCTGTTTTAGAGAATGAATATGTATCTGCTCAGTGCACTTGTAGAGGCGTGTTGTAGAAGTGTTTTATTTTTTGTTCTTTGTGTGTGTGTGTGTGTGTGTGTGTGTGTTCTTGATATCAGTTTTCATCTAACATCTCACTGTTTTCTCTTGTTTTTGTATTTGCAATAGATAATAAATATTTTTCTAGAAATACTAGACTCGTGAACACAGGTTGGTCTACATGTATGAGCCACGTATTGCTGTTTTTTACATGTTGTGATTGCTGTTTGGTGACTGTGTTGTGTTTGGTAATGTTCCATATTTTTCATATGAGAGTATTATGTGAGTACTTCACTACATTGTTCGTTTTGAAATGCAAGAAAGCAATTTTTTATGTGTTGGAATATCAGCGCTTTTAAACAAATCTATTCCCCTCTCCTGGTGTAACCTACTTAGATTTGTGATTGGGTCATATTAACTGACCCTTACTCTTCAGCAATGTAGCATGACTCAGGTCTGAAAATATTGGTAGTGATGTGGGTTTGATTTCAGATTGGACCAAGAGTAGTTTATTTTTTACCAGTATTTTTTATTTCTCTGTAAGAGGAGAGGCAGCCTAGCCAGATGCCAGGGGTGTGAATGTGTGAACAGGATTTGATGACCTCAGAGAGAACAGGAAGAGAGGTGGGGGCACTAATCTAATCATCACTCTCCCCAAGAGGTCAGATCAGGGGCCTCGCTCAGTCAGCCACAACAGTAGTCAAGTGTTTGCCAAGTGTGTGTGTTTGTGAAAGAGAGAGAGATTCCTTTACCTCTAAACTACTAGGCTACATACAGTATCAGACTGGTCGGACAGATATGAGGCCACCAAACTATAGTGTCATTACCTCAGAATGTGTGTGTGCATTTTGTTTACACACGTTTTCCTCTACCGGCCACCATCCCCCCACAGGAGACTCGAGTGAACCCGACGAGCACCCCTACGCCCCGCGTGAGAACGCCCCGTCCTACGGTGTGAACAACACATTGTCATCCACCACGGAGGGCTCTCAGCAGACACACACACACCTCAGCCATCCTCCCACAGAAGAGGACCCCCTGGGACCTCTAACAGACAACTGGGAGATGGCCTACACCGAGAACGGAGAGCTCTACTTTATAGAGTACGTACCCTATAACATATTCTACACCCCATAACACATCATGTAACATAGGCTTCATGGGCCTATACCCAACATCCATAATAGTATTTAAATTAGAATCTTCTCAAGAAAATATTGTGCCACTTTCTACCTTTGATACTTGCCTTTAACATTGAGTCTGATTACTTCACAGTGTGTATCATATTTAGCCATGGAAGTGAGGATGTTTTTCAGACAGTGAGTGTTTGTTGACTTCCCAGTCAGAACAATGTGTCTGTCTGTCTGACTCTGTCATGTGCGTCTATCTATAGCCACAACACAAAAACTACTTCCTGGATCGACCCACGCTGCCTGGACAAACCTCCCAAACCTCTGGAAGAATGTGAAGACGATGGTACGTCCAACACAGGCTCTGTGTGTGTGTGTGTGTGTGTGTGTGTGTGTGTGTGGTGAAATCAGATAATTGTCTGTCAGATCAGTTGTTCTATGAGTGGCCTGCAGATGGCATACTTGAGCCACCGTAGTGTGAGATGAGATGAGACGCAGTAATATTATTTTCTCTCGTGTGTTGCCTGCCTGCGCTCACGTCTGAGCAAGATGCCCCGGCAGCCTGAAGGACTGACTGGGTTATTTGCATCATCTAGCATCAATAAAATATGTACCTTGAACTGCAGAGGAGCGCCCGCCCACCCACACAAGACATTAGCATTTAATCTGCCTCTCTCTCCCCTCCTCTCTCTAACCCACCTCCTCTCCCTCCCCACCTCTCTCTCCCGTCCTCTCTCTCCCGTCCTCTCTCTCCCCACCCTCCTCTCTCTCCCCACCCTCTCGGCCTCTCGATCGCCCACTCCTCTCCTCTTTCCCTCCTCTCTCCTCCTCTCTCTTCCCTCCTCTCTCTTCCCCCTCTCTCTCCCCACCTCTCTCTTCCTCCCTCTCTCTTCCCTCCTCTCTCTCCCCACCTCTTCTCTCCCCCCTCTCTCTCCCCACCTCTCTCTCCCTCCTCACTCTCTCTCCCCCTCTCTCTCCCTCCTCTCTCTCCCCACTCTCTCTCCTCTCCTCCCCCCCCATCTCTTCTTCCTCCTCCTCTCTCCCTCCCCTCTCCCTCCTCTCTCTCCCCACCTCTCTCTCCCCCACCTCTCTCTCTCCCTCCTCTCTCTTCCCTACCTCTCTTCCCCCCCACCTCTCTCTCCCCCCTCTCTTCCTTCTCTTCCCTCTCTTCCCCCCTCTCTCTCCCCCCGTCTCTTCCTCCTCTCCTCCCCGCCTCTCTCTCCCCTCCTCTCTCTCCTCCTCCCCCTCTCTCTCCCTCTCTCTCTCCCCCACTCTCTTCCTCTCTCTCCCCACCTCTCTCTTCCCCTCCTCTCTCTCCCCACCTCTCTCTTCCCTCCTCTCTCTTCCCTCCTCTCTCCCCACCTCTCTCTCCTCTACCATGTGTCCTCTCCATGTGTTCTGTGGTACTTTTGTTGATGAGATGGCTCCTATTAGTTCTGTCCTCTCAAGCCGCTGCAAGAGGACACATTGGATAGATGGAGAGATTATTCATATTGTCAAGCATATGGTGCATGAACTATAATTCATATTTAGTGGCAGCTGTTTTCACCCGCCCCAACCTAAAATGGTCGGTATTACAATATGTCTGTCTCTATGGTATGACACATTTATTTCACATTAATGTACCTATTGATTTCTGGAGCTGGTTTTTCGAGAGGTTTAGTAAGTATGAAAGAGTGCCACCCAATGGCGAAGTAGAAAGTGTGTTTAACATTATGGTACAGACCGTGGCTAATATAAAGATATTACATATATTGGCATGATGCATATATTTTATTTTATTACCATTCCAGACACATGATGTTTTTTACAGTGTATGGAGCCAAATTTTGCTGCTCTCTTCACTTGCTTGGGGCTTGGAATCAAAATCAATCTCTAACCCTCTGGTGCTCTCTCTCTTTCTCTCCCCTGCTCTCTCTACTTTTTTCCCCCCTGTCTCTCCACCCCCCACCCTTGGTCCTCCACTCTCTCTCCTGGTCTGCTGTCTTTCTCCTGGAGAAGAAGGGGTACACACAGAAGAGCTGGACAGTGAGCTAGGTAGGCCTCTCTCTTTTCTCCCCTCTCCCCTGCTGTGTCCTCTGGGAAACCTGCCTACTGTATAACATGCTCCCTGTACTGCTTATTACAGTTTAAAACATCTCTCCCTTTCTGCCTAGAGGGTGTAAACATTATAATCAAATGGTTAATAATATATTGTAATATATTGTCTGTGTGTGCGTGCATGTATGTGTGTGCGTGTTTGCAGGCTTGTGTCTGCTGAGTGGGCAGTTCTTACAGGGTTAACCCACACGCCCGGCGAGCCAGCATGCCATAACAAAGAGAGAACCATTCACGAGAGGCACATTGACCTGATGATCATTTCTTAATGGGCCTCTCGTCAAATGGACCTCTCACTCTCAAGCCCCATCATTCCATCCACTGTGGCTCATATTATAACCGGGCTAGCAAAGAGCACTTTACCCACCACTGTCTGCTGGTGCATCAGTCTCTGGAGTCAGATGGAGGCTTTAAACAGCCATGGCTCTGAGGTGGGCTCAGAAAACTACTGCCCTCTATTCTATTTCAATGGGGAATACATGGGTGAATAGTCACAATCCTCCAATGTCATTAGTATTTGAGAATTTCTGTTCTTGCCTATTAATCAGAGATTGATTTTAGATCTGAGAAACCAGGAGTGTGCAATACCAGGTCAATCAGTGATATCAATTGATCAATTAATTGCTAGGGAGACATAAAACACCCCTGCACCCCTGGGTTAAGGTCTGAGGTAAGTGAGGGTGAGCTGATCCTAGACCAGTGTTAAGCCTCTGAGAAGGTATCCTCCATGTTGTGAACAGCAGCCAGGGTAGGAGCAGCCATTGTTAATACCACAGCTCAGATTGGATGAACACAGTCAATAGGTATCGATTGTGAAATCCGATACATGGAGAATAAGGCAATTACTCCAGTAGTGTATAGGACAGCAGACGTATGGCCCCTGTAGTGCAGCCCCTCGCTCAGGAGAAATCAAATAGTCAGGAAGACGGAATGAGATGCAAACAATTTAATCAGCAATTTGTCACCTGAGTCCCCCTGGAGCTGGAGTGTGCATGGGAGTCGTCAGGGGAGCGTGGAAAGGGGAAGCTCTTTTTGATAAGTGTCAGATTCATCCCACTACACCCACTCAGTATCAGCAAGGCCAGTAGTGACGTGATGGCTCTGGCGCCCAGCAATAATAACACACAGGCAGGATCTCCTTTAGAAATACCGCCATTGGTGGATGGGAGGGGTGGATGGGATGGGACGGACGGAGGGAGGGATGGATGGATGGAGGGAGGGGTGGTGGGGTGGGGTGGGATGGCAGGGAGGGGAGGGAGGGAGGGATGGGTGGGGAGGGGAGGGGAGGGATGGGATGGGGTAGGTAGGTAGGTAGGTAGGTAGGTAGGTAGGTAGGTAGGTAGGTAGGTAGGGATGGATGGGTAGGTGGATGGATGTATGGGTGGGTGGGGGAATGAGGGGTTGGGGTTGTTGTACTGTTTTTCTTTCTGTTCTCATATCTGAAAATCCAATCATAAAGTACATTAAAAAAAAAGAAATACAACCACTCTGGTGTGAAATACAGAGTGATTCTAATTTACAGTGAGTGAGGTGCTACTGGCTCAAAGTATAATGTTCCCCTTCAGAACATCTGACAATATTAAAGCCTAGTCCTTGTATTGTGAATGTTCCAAACATAACACAACACCCCCTTTATTCCTTGCCGTCACTCTCGCAGCTTAACAGCTTGACTCCAAATCCTCTAAAGCTGGTGGAGGTCATGTGTACACCACTCATCAGAGGTAATAGGCTGAAGCTAAAGACATGCAGGACGGATACTGTACAGCAGAGTAGTCAGTCACACACAAATCTGTTAGTAACCAATTACAGCACTCTGACGTTTCCCTATAGCCATTAGTACAGTAGCTAGCTAGCTCCATCTCTGCTATTCTAATCACACTGCTCTGTATGGAGAGGTAATGAGTTGCTCTGCCATACTGAGACATACTGAGACGGTATCAATGTAGCAGACTTTACAGCAGATGACTAATGCATGTCTCTATCTAATCAGTCCTGATTTAGTTAGTCTCATTTTATGGCAGTGTTGTCAGGCCATTTATGGCATTCATTCTCAGCATCGATGTCATGGAAGATATACATGCGTGTGTCCCTGCTTACACACATCTAAAAATAAAAACATTCTCTCACACAACTCATCATTAATGAATAAAGACATGATCAAGTGAATGATCAAGTTGGTGAAGTTCTACAATGCCATGTGACAAAGACAGTGATAAACCAATCAAGGACAACATTGAATACCATTATATACACACCCCACCTACATCAGGGATTGTACATCAGATTCCCTTTTCATACTGCCATGAAAAAAATGAAAAAATATATTCACCGTGATGTATTTAAACCACACATTTTTAAACCAAAATTGACATTTAGACCACCACACACATATACCACCAGCTCCTCTTCTCCATCTGAGCATCTGGTGTTGATCATGATTGGTCAAATCCCCCCGTAGTGTCTTTATCTGATGTGTTAAATGTCAGTAGTGTCCTGCCAGGAGCCAATAGCCAGGTCCAGACAGCCTCTGGAGAGCCTATGTAGTCCTGTTCCCTCCCCGGTGACTGACAGGCTGTGTGTGGTAGGAAAAGGTATTCACTGACCTTCTGTATGAACACTGAACACCATCTCTAACAACCTGCTGTTTCCTCCTCCCTCTACCTCTCTTCCAGAGCTGCCAACAGGCTGGGAGAAAATAGATGATCCAGTCTACGGGGTTTACTATGTGGAGTAAGTAGTGACACACACATATCTCTGTCGCATTTCGCATGACCTCACTGTACTGTACATTCACAATGCATTTAACACTGAGCAGTGGCCCAGAACATTGCAAAACAACGTCAAATGCAGTACAAATGCAGGCTGTTATTTTGGTCTCTACTGTTTTTGGGGAATATAGGTCATTTTGTTGCCGTCATGATGGTTTAGAAACGGGGTTTCTCAACCAGTGGGAGACCCTTGGGGCTGTGCATTAATAGCAATACATTCATATGTTTTGATGTTGTTCAAAGTAATACCTTAGAGGCAGAGGCCGAGTTTTGTTCACTGAATTTTTTCAATATATATTATTCCTATTGTTTCCTGTTTAATGCATAATTAAATAATGTTTCCATACTGTTTGAAGTGTATGTGTACTGCTCTTTTAATTCCTTGTCAGGTTGTGGTATGACGTGGTTGTGGTGGTGGTGTTAACCTCCTGAAGCAGTGCTCCTCAGTGATTGTGTGATGCTGTTGATATTCAGGCCTCGTCGTCTCTGTCTCCTCTGATCACCAGAGCACTGTCTGTACCAGACTTGACTTCCGTGACTTAAGGCCCTGGCTCCTGGAGCATAGGCCACCAGAGACGTTGTCTATCTGTGTGTTGTGTTCACTCCTTCATCACTGCCTCTCTGTATCTCAATCTTTCTCTTTCTTTGTCCCTTCCTCTCCATCCTTTGGCTTTCTTCTATTTTTTTTCTCTCTCTCTCTCTCTCTCTCTCTCTCTCTCTCTCTCTCTCTCTCTCTCTCTCTCTCTCTCTCTCCTCTCTCTCTCTCTCTCTCTCTCTCTCTCTCTCTCTCTCTCCTTTCCTGTTATTATCCCCCTTGTTCTTACTTACTCTCTACTTTTCTCTATCCCTCTCCCTTCCTGTCTCATTCTCCTCATTTCTCCTATTTTCCCTCCCTCTCTTCCTCCCTCTCTCAGTCACATCAACAGGAAGACCCAGTATGAGAACCCTATACTGGAGGCTAAGCGGCTGAAGCAGCTCGAGCAACAGCAGCCACCAGAAGGTGAGCGCTACATCCGAGGTTCGTTTCCAGCCCCGCCGGGCGTCATTCCTTTCTTTCTCCATGTCTGTGATCGTGCTTATCTGTCTCTTTGTCCTGCTGCTCTGCTCTACTCTGCTTGTGGCGCTTTATCATTTGCTATCGAGAAACCATAAAGGCATACCTATGATTTATTTTTATGGCCTTGAAGAGAGGTCTTTTTGGTTTAATTTGGCAATGTTTTAAGTGTCACTGATTCTCTCTCCGAAGGATTTGTGCTTATATGAATAATTTTGGAAGTGTGCAGTTCTAGGTAAGTTTGGGCTTGACAATTATACATTGACGAGTCTGTTACAGCATTGTAAATGTATCCCTATATTTCTATTCTTTCTGGGTCTTGCTCTCCCAGTGAAAAGTATTTCAGGACAGGTGCTTTAAGTCTGAGTGTGTCCTGAGTTTACCTCTCTTTAGTTTATATGTAGGATGTCCTCCAGATTTTCTCTAGACATGCAGGTCACACCACTAGGGACCAGCCTATTGATCCCCCTTCTGCAGACTCAGCTAAATGCGCTTCTGACTTAATTACTTGCTGCCTTTTCCTCATTTAAGCTCAATATCTCTTTACGCTCAATATCTGTGAAGACTTTTACTCTTTCATTGATTGAATCTTGATACTGAGAATATCAATGAAGACTTAAGCCTCTGATACATTACACAGTGAGGCTGCCATTTAGATCTGTCAGAGATTGGATTACATGGTATTACTTTCATCGGCAGCCATTGTGGCTCAATGCAGTACAGTAGTTTCCTAGCCACCCATTGTGGTGAACCATAAGGAATCAGTGTAACTGTACAGGCACCAGAGACAGGAAGTATGCCCTTTGCTGTTCCAGAATGGATAGAGGACGCCACCCTGGCTGGTGCCCCCCTGGCCAGCTATACCGCTAACCACCAGGAGACCTACAGGGACCCCCAGGCCGGACCCCCACTGCCGCCCCTCATCGGTCCCAAACGTAAGTCCTGGTCTGGTTAATATCCTAGTTTTATGAGGGTATTGGTCCATTTCTATCTGCAACATTGTGGATGTGTTCCCTGTTCCCTCATCCTCCTCTCTCTCTCTCTCTCTCTCTCTCTCTCTCTCTCTCTCTCTGTCTCTCTCTCTGTCTCTCTCTCTCTCTGCCTCACTCTCTCTCTCTGCCTCGCTCTCTCTCTCTCTCTCTCTGTCTGCCTCACACTCTCTCTCCTCCTCTCTCTCTCGCTCTCTCTCTCTCTCTGCCTCTCTCTCGCTCTCTCCATCTCTCTCTCCCCCCTCTCTCTCTACCCAAAAGTGTAGCTCTCCATAGGGGATAGCAGCTGGGGCTGGGGCACACTCTGGGCGATTTACCCATAGGATTACCCCCATTTTCAGACACAGACAGGCTGGTGCCCGCTATCTCTTGGAATCCCTCTTAGCCTAATTAATCTATCAATCATAATCAGTATTTTTATGATTCATGGAGCTCATTACACCAACACATCTCTCACAGAGCACTCACTGATCCAGAGCCAAGACTGGGTAGGATAGCCCCTCCTTCTTTGGCTAGCCCAGCACATGAGATCAACAGGTTCTTATGAAAGGTGTGTAAGGCTTGTGTGTGTGTGTGTGTTCCTCAGGAGGGAAGCCCTTCTTCACGAGGAACCCAGCGGAGCTAAAGGGAACCTTCATCAACACTAAACTGAGGAAGAGCCACCGGGGGTTCGGCTTCACCGTAGTCGGGGGCGACGAGCCTGATGAGTTCCTTCAGATCAAGAGTCTGGTTCTGGACGGGCCTGCTGCCCTCGATGGCAAGATGGAGACAGGTGGGATGCCGCTCTATCATTCCCTGTCATTATTAAGAGGTGGTCACCAACTCCTTGAGAGCTACAGAGAGTGCATGCTTTTGTTCCAACCCTGCACTAAAACAATTGACTAATCAAGGTTGGTTTATTTGTTTATTTACTGAATCTGGTGCTCTCCAGGATCCGGATTGGTGACAACTGACTGGTTTAGGTTTTATAGTGTACTGTAGGCGTTCTAATTGAGCAATTTACAGTTTAAGTGTTACTTCCAAGATTTTTTGACATGGAGCTAATTATCCGACATTCATTTATTCTTCTATTCCCCAGGTGACGTGATCGTGAGTGTCAATGACACATGCGTGCTAGGCTACACCCACGCCCAGGTGGTGAAGGTCTTCCAGTCCATCCATATTGGCTCCATGGTCAACCTGGAGCTGTGCCGCGGCTACCCCCTGCCTTTTGACCCCGACGACCCCAACACCAGCATGGTGACCTCCGTGGCCATCGTGGACAAGGAGCCGATCATCATCAATGGCCAGGATAGCTACGACTCCCCGTCCAGCCACGGCAGCCATACTGGAGGCCCTGTTAATGGCATGAGGGAGTCGAGACCACACAGTCCCTCCTCCGCAGAGGTGGCGTCCAATGGCTCGCACGGTTACCTCAGCGACTCTGTGACGCTGGCGTCGTCCATAGCGACGCAGCCGGAGCTGATCACAGTGCACATGGAGAAGGGAGACAAAGGCTTTGGGTTCACCATCGCAGACAGCCCTGCAGGGGGAGGACAGAGGGTCAAACAGATAGTGGACTACCCCCGCTGCAGGGGCCTGAAGGAGGGGGACATTATCGTGGAGGTGAACAAGAGGAACGTCCAGAGCATGAGCCACAACCAAGTGGTGGACCTGCTCAGCAAGTGCCCCAAAGGAAGTGAGGTCAGCATGCTGGTGCAGAGAGGTGGAGGTAAGACATAGACCCACAACATGCTGAGATCTGTGGTCCTTTGTAGCTCAATTGGTAGAGCATGTCGCTTGTAACGCCAGGGTAGTGGGTTCGATCCCCGGGACCACCCATACGTAAAAATGTATGCACGCATGACTGTAAGTCGCTTTGGATAAAAGCGTCTGCTAAATGGCATATTATTATTATTATTATTATTATTATTATTATTATTATTATTATTATTATTAAATCTGATAGGTGCAGGTAAGACATAGACCCACAACATATTGAGATCTGATAGGTGGAGGTAAGACATAGACCCACAACATGCTGAGATCTGATAGGTGGAGGTAAGACATAGACCCACAACATGCTGAGATCTGAGTTCTAGTTGGCAAGCCTGCCTCTTGCTCCCGCCTCTTCTCTCCATCACCATTTTCATGAATCTGGAAGTTGCTAAAACATGTAAAAAATTCACACACAAAAAATGGGTAGGGTTAAGGTTAGCCCTAAAACAAGGCCTGTGCTATTCATGGGAAGGTGAGTGGGAGATGGGAATCTAGTTTATGTGGAAAATATAGAGAGACTAAAGAGCTAGATAGAAGAAAGTTAGTGAGTGAATGGAAAAAAAGATGAATACTGAAAGAATGTGAGAGATGGTTGTAGAGATTGTTAGTGAGAGAGTGGTTTGGAGAGTGAGAGAAAAGAGAGAGCGTGACTTAGGTGTAGATCTTGCTCCAGGTCAGAAAGTCTCATGAATATGGAGCTGGGTTCCTCAGTTCCTCCTGTGGATCTTTTTGTGTTTCTGTCTCATTTCTGTCACACTCTCTCTCTCTCTCTCTCTCTCTTCTCTCTCTCTCTCTCTCTCTCTATCTCTCTCTCTCTGCTCTCATCTCTCCTCTCTCTCTCTCTCTCTCTCTCTCTCTCTCTCTCTCTCTCTCTCTCTCTCTCTCTCTCTCTCTCTCTCTCTCACTTACACTGTCTACACTATAGTCTGTCTGTTACTTTATAGGTATCACACAGAGATAAGGTGAAGAAGAGAAAGTTGCGTTGAGCTCCAATTGTGGTGTCTGAATTTCTTCCATCCTAGCTGTGTGTATGTACAGTGGGGAAAAAAAGTATTTAGTCAGCCACCAATTGTGCAAGTTCTCCCACTTAAAAAGATGAGAGAGGCCTGTAATTTTCATCATAGGTACACGTCAACTATGACAGACGAATTGAGGGAAAAAAAATCCAGAAAATCACATGTAGGATTTTTTATGAATTTATTTGCAAATTATGGTGGAAAATAAGTATTTGGTCACCTACAAACAAGCAAGATTTCTGGCTCTCACAGACCTGTAACTTCTTCTTTAAGAGGCTCCTCTGTCCTCCACTCGTTACCTGTATTAATGGCACCTGTTTGAACTTGTTATCAGTATAAAAGAAACATGTCCACAACCTCAAACAGTCACACTCCAAACTCCACTATGGCCAAGACCAAAGAGCTGTCAAAGGACACCAGAAACAAAATTGTAGACCTGCACCAGGCTGGGAAGACTGAATCTGCAATAGGTAAGCAGCTTGGTTTGAAGAAATCAACTGTGGGAGCAATTATTAGGAAATGGAAGACATACAAGACCACTGATAATCTCCCTCGATCTGGGGCTCCACGCAAGATCTCACCCCGTGGGGTCAAAATGATCACAAGAACGGTGAGCAAAAATCCCAGAACCACATGGGGGGACCTAGTGAATGACCTACAGAGAGCTGGGACCAAAGTAACAAAGCCTACCATCAGTAACACACTACGCCGCCAGGGACTCAAATCCTGCAGTGCCAGACGTGTCCCCCTGCTTAAGACAGTACATGTCCAGGCCCGTCTGAAGTTTGCTAGAGTGCATTTGGATGATCCAGAAGAGGATTGGGAGAATGTCATATGGTCAGATGAAACCAAAATATAACTTTTTGGTAAAAACTCAACTCGTCGTGTTTGGAGGACAAAGAATGCTGAGTTGCATCCAAAGAACACCATACCTACTGTGAAGCATGGGGGTGGAAACATCATGCTTTGGGGCTGTTTTTCTGCAAAGGGACCAGGACGACTGATCCGTGTAAAGGAAAGAATGAATGGGGCCATGTATCGTGAGATTTTGAGTGAAAACCTCCTTCCATCAGCAAGGGCATTGAAGATGATACGTGGCTGGGTCAATGATCCAAAACACACCGCCCGGGCAATGAAGGAGTGGCTTCGTAAGAAGCATTTCAAGGTCCTGGAGTGGCCTAGCCAGTCTCCAGATCTCAACCCCATAGAAAATCTTTGGAGGGAGTTGAAAGTCCGTGTTGCCCAGCGACAGCCCCAAAACATCACTGCTCTAGATGAGATCTGCATGGAGGAATGGGCCAAAATAGTGTGTGAAAACCTTGTGAAGACTTACAGAAAATGTTTGACCTGTGTCATTGCCAACAAAGGGTATATAACAAACTATTGAGAAACTTTTGTTATTGACCAAATACTTAATTTCCACCATAATTTGCAAATAAATTCATTAAAAATCCTACAATGTGATTTTCTGGAGAAAAAAAATTCTCATTTTGTCTGTCATAGTTGACGTGTACCTATGATGAAAATGACAGGCCTCTCTCATCTTTTTAAGTGGGAGAACTTGCACAATTGGTGGCTGACTAAATACTTTTTTCCCCCACTGTATGTATGTGTGTGTGTGCGTGCGTTCATGCATGCGTGTGGATGAGACTGTCTTTCTCTGTGTCAGTTAAACATTCTATTGAGAACTTAGGGCCAGGCTTTTGAGAAGGTGTATGATTGGAAAAACTGTCTCACAAAATCTCTGAATAGAAGATGCAGTGTATGAAGGGGGATGATTGAATTTTGGTCTCTCACTCCAATCCCCAGACAGTACCCACTACCAAGAACTCACCTTCACAAAAAGCCCTGACTCACACTGAGAGAGACATGTAATTGGAGTGTTTCCACAGACATACAGAGCGATCTTTTATTTATATATACAGTGAGGGAAAAAAGTATTTGATCCCCTGCTGATTTTGTACGTTTGCCCACTGACAAAGAAATTATCAGTCTATAATTTTAATAGTAGGTTTATTTGAACAGTGAGAGACAGAATAACAACAAAAAAATCCAGAAAAACGCATGTCAAAAATGTTATGAATTGATTTGCATTTTAATGAGGGAAATAAGTATTTGACCCCTTCTCAATCAGACAGATTTCTGGCTCCCAGGTGTCTTTTATACAGGTAACGAGCTGAGATTAGGAGCAGAAAATGACAACTTGTCAAAATAACAAAAAATATGCAGTGTTGTCAGACCTCGAATAATGCAAAAAAATAAGTTCATGTTCATTTTTAAACAACAAATACTAATGTTTTAACTTAGGAAGAGTTCAGAAATCAATATTTGGTGGAATAACCCTGGTTTTCATTCACAGCTTTCATGCGTCTTGGCATGCTCTCCACCAGTCTTTCACATTGATGTTGGGTGACTTTATGCCACTCCTGGCGCAAAAATTCAAGCAGCTCGGCTTTGTTTGATGGCTTGTGACCATCCATCTTCCTCTTGATCACATTCCAGAAGTTTTCAATGGGGTTCAGGTCTGGAGATTGGGCTGGCCATGACAGGGTCTTGATCTGGTGGTCCTCCATCCACACCTTGATTGACCTGGCTGTGTGGCATGGCGCATTGTCCTGCTGGAAAAACCAATTCTCAGAGTTGGGGAACAATGTCAGAGCAAAAGGAAGCAAGTTTTCTTCCAGGACAACCTTGTACGTGACTTGATTCATGCATCCTTCACAAAGACAAATCTGCCCAATTCCAGCCTTTGCTGAAGCACCCCCAGATCATCACCGATCCTCCACCAAATTTCACAGTGGGTGCGAGACACTGTGGCTTGTAGGCCTCTCCAGGTCTCTCGTCTAACTATTAGACGACCAGGTGTTGGGCAAAGCTGAAAATTGGACTGATCAGAGAAGATGACCTTACTCCAGTCCTCTACGGTCCAATCCTTATGGTCTTTTGCAAACCTCAGCCTGGCTCTTCTTTGCTTCTCATTGATGAAGGGCTTTTTTCTAGCTTTGCACGACTTCAGCCCTGCCCCTAGGAGCCTGTTTTGAACCGTCCTCGCCGTGCACTTCACCCCAGCTGCCGTTTGCCATTCTTTTTGTAGGTCACTTGATGTCATCCTACGGTTGTTGAGTGACATTCTAATGAGTTGGCGGTCATCCCGGTCAGTAGAGAGTCATTTTCGCCCTCTGCCGGTCTGTAGCTTTGTTGTCCCCAATGTCTGCTGCTTGACCTTGTTCTTATGAAGCGCCGTCTTTGAAATTTTAAGGATGGAAGCAACCTGACGCTCACTGTATCCCTCTGCCAGTAAAGCCAGAATTGAACCCTTCTTTTCCTCACTCAAAACTTTCCTCTCTTTTGGCATGGTCAATAGTTATTTTTTGATTAATATTACTTTTGAGGTACTATTAGCACTGTTTTTGCCATCCAGCTGGTCCTATTGCAAGAAGATAGTGATGACCACAGCAGTGTTTTTTATACTTTTCCTCATTAAATAAGATTTGGTTCATGTGATCACCTAATCAGTACCTAATTCAGTAGAATGAGGTGTGCCTGTGTTGGAATTCAACAGACACTGGAATGGAATGGCTGTCATACATGTAGAGATGCTGATTTAAGACAAATTTGCAGTGGTCTCTTAATTTTTTCCACAGCTGTGTGTATATATATGTATATCTATTTTTTAAAACCTTTATATCTTTTTTTTCTTCTTTTTTTCTGTGGTGGGGGGGGGGGGATAGATTAGCTTCCATCAATGTAATTGTCTGCATCACTTCCAATCCCCCATATGTTTTTTTTTCTCTCGCAAATATATATATATACATACATATACATACACATACATATAAATACATATACATACATATAAATACATATCCTTTTTTTAAAATATATGTCCCTTTATTACTTTCCAACCCC